GTCTGCTCCAGGGCTTGGAAGACGACAGCACGTGCTGGGGGAAAAGACAGCTCAGATAGAGAAGGGAACACCAAGTAAAGGATGTTTGGAGGACTCACTCAGGATGCAAGATGCGTGCTGAAAGTAGACTATAGACCGAACACAGTGGCCACTCAATACCTCTATCGCAAACTACAAGACCCTGAAGGAAAGAGTGAGCAAAAGGGAATTCCCCACCAGGCAGGGTGGGGGGATGGGGTGTGGGGGTGGGAGGGCTACTAGGATCATTGGTGGTGGAGAATGGGCACTGGTGGAGGGATGGGTTCTCGATCATTGTATAACTGAAACCCAAGCACGAAAGTTTGCAAGTCTATAACTGTACCTCATGGTGTTTCACTAATAATATTAATAATAAAATTTTTTAAAATATTGAGAGTATTCAAAGTAGAGAGAGTATTGTGGAAATTGTCTGCCACACAGGAAGGGGAAGGGTTGGGATGTGGAGGCGGGGGGGGGGGGTGATACTGGAGACTTTGGAGGTGGAAAATATGCACTGGTAAAGGGATGGGTGTTTGATCACTGTATGACCAAAACTCAAACATGAAAACTTTGTAACTGTATCTAAAAGTGATTCAATAAAAAATAAAAATAAAATAATGTCAGCTAAGGGGGGCAGAGAGATAGTATAGCAGTTAAGGAGCTTGTATTGACCCCCGCTTTGACCTCTGGCAGTGCAAGGGATTCCGCCAAGTACCACTAGGGATCACTCAAAAGTACAGATCCAGGAATAGCCCCCCATCTTCTTCCCCAATACCTTTGCCCTTTGTCCAAGTCAGGTGGGGCCAAAAAGTAGTCAGTAACCTAAGGTAGAATTCACACATTGCTTCTCCTTAGTCGATCAGATGTTGAGTTCTGGAGAAAGCAAGCCCACGAGCAGGGTGCAGTGGTTCAGTAAGAGGAGGGTAAACTTGGGGCTGGAGAGATAGCACAGAGGGTAGGGTGTTTGCCCTGCATGCGGTCGACCTGGGATAGATCCCTGGCATTTCCTATGGTCCCCCGAGCACTGCCAAGAGTCATTCCTGGTTGCAGAGCCAGGAGGAACCCCTGAGCATCACTGGGTGTGACCCAAAAAGAAAAAGAAAGAGAAGGGTAAACTTCTAGGCAGAATAGGAGAGAGCTAAGCCAGTCAGAACCCCATTGCAACGACATCCAAGCCTTCCGGAATGGCTAGCATCAGACAAAGCTGAGTCCAGAAATCTAAACGAAGCCAGAAGTTATGTCAGTTTGTCCACACCATGTGTCGCCACTTCCAAGCAGCCGTTTATTTGTTCGTGGTATGGATAAGCAGTCTTTCTGGCTTGATTTGACTCACCTAGAGCTGGAGAATTACTACAGCCTCATTCCTGGCAATGGGCCCCATCTCTACTGAAAAAGTACAAATGCCTTAGCCTTGTCTGTTTCATTCTCCTACAGGCGCGTCACCTGGTGGCTGGAGGTCTTGAGGTAGCAAGAGAAAGGGCCGGCTCCAACATGGTCACACTTTTAAAAATTAGGCACTGTTGTTTTGTTAATGCATGACACAGTTCAACACCACAGACTCCCCTAAGTGTCCATTCTTGTCCCAGTGTCACCCCCATCCTATTGTTCCCAGCCCTAGCTCACCATAATAAGCTTTCTACTGACAACCATTTCTCTGTTTCTGAGTTTGAGTTGTCTTGAAGCATTTGTTATACCTCATTTTCTTTCTTTCTTTCTTTCTTTCTTTATTTATTTATTTATTTCTTCCTTCCTTCCTTCCTTTCTTTCTTTCTTGTCACAACCAGAGATACTCAGGGGTTGCTTCTGACTCTGCACTCAGAAATTCCTTCTGGTGGTGCTCCGGATGCCATATGGGATGCTGGGAATCCAACCCCGGTCGGCTGTGTACAAGGCATTCTACCCACTGTACTATCACTCCGCCCCACCTCTACTGTCTATGTCCCACATAGGAGTGTGATCATTTTGTGTTTGCCCGTCTCCTTCTGACTCACTTCACTCAGCCTGAAACTCTCCAGATCCATCCACACAGCATCAAATTGCATGAGTCCATGATTTTTCAGCCAAGTAGTATTCCACTGTGTACATGGACCACAGTTTCTTTAAGTCTCCTTTCGTCCCATGTTTGCTAGTATCTCCTTGGGTCACACATCCAAACCAGCTCCAAGGGATGCAGAATAAGGCCCTGCCTCCTCCTAGAAGGGACTGTAACCTTGCAGTGGGTGGGCAGAGAGAAGATGGGAACAGTTGAGAGCACAATTCTAGAATTTCTTGGATAATCTCCATGTAGGAGGGGAAGCAATCCTGTCTTCTACCAGGAATCCTCTATGCCTCCTAAGGAGTAAGTCCTGAGCGTACCCAGCTGTGGCCCAAAAATGAACACAAAAATCTCTCCACCATCCCCTCTGCCCACTCGACCCCATCCCCTCCGGCTCACCTTCCTCTCTCGATCTTTCCACTGCAGTCGCATTGCAGCTCCACCAGCGCAGTCGCCCCTGGGCCGTGCGTCACTCTCCTTGTCAGAGCTCTTCTCTCTGATGTGCTCTAGGCTCCGTCCCCGCCTCCTTCCAAGCTTGGCTCACATGTCTCCATTCCAGATCTCTCTGCGTCTCCTCACCTGTGACTTAACAGAGTGTACGCGATGCCTCTAATCCTGGTTTCTTCTCCTGCTTTAGCACACAGCATCATCTTCTTTACTCAAATTGTCCTTGTCTTGATTGTCCGCCTCTGCCGTGAGAGTCCTTGGCCTGTTCCCTGTTCCCTGCTGTGTCCCAGCGCCTCTGACGCACGGCCTCACTCCACACAGAGCTGCTGAATGAGTGAAGGCGTGGGCGCCCCGAGACCCCACTCTTGCCGACCCATCCAGTTATGGGGCCCTTGGCACACACCAGGGCCACTCGTTTATCTCAACCTCTCCTCCTGCCTTGTCCCTTCCTCCTGACCACTCCCCATCCCATCTTTGTCCACTGACACTACAGCTGAGCTAGAAAAAACTCTCGCATGAGACTCCCCACCAGATTAGCTTCCTCCCACATGGCCCCCTGGAGTCCTGTCTGCCTCTCCTTCTGCTTTGGGGGTTCCCTATTCACCATCTTGGCACGGTGAAAATCACCTTGTGGGCACTTCACCTAGTGGGTACTCCATCTAGTGGGCATTCCTTAAGCAGACACTCTGTCAGTGTCCAGTGAATGAGTGACCAGTGGGGGCATGGCCAGGTCCCGGGGGATGTCACTTCAGGTGGACCGAGGGTATTTGACTGAAATAACAGTCTAGGGAAGCCTGTACCTATTTGGTGTGACCACCAGGAACCTGGAGAAGCAGCTTGCAACCCAGAGTCCCCGTGAAAATGACTGTCTTTAAAATGTGCACATGTGGCTGGGACATAGTACAGGGTTAGGACGCAGACCTACAGGCCCCAACCTAGGCTTGTTGCAGTCACTATTGGCCCATTGGCATCGCTGGGTGTTGCCTGGGGGCCCCTGGAACTGCCAGATGACCCGGGATCCCCAACACTGCAGGTAAGAGAACACCCTTCGGTCCTTGCCTGAACCTCTGGCCTGGTTGGCAGAGAGACACCGCTGGGGCCCTCCTGTCCCCTGAGCACCACTCTGAAGGCAAAGAAAAACCAAGACGCTATTTTCCAGGACAACGTGGGGAGCGACTCTGAAGTCCAGGCCGGGGAGAACCAGACACCAGAGACATTCTATGGTGACCAGCATCCCACCACCCCCATTCATTCATCTCCTCACATGCACCTCCACTCTGGCTAATGTGCTCATTTTTTAAAACTCAGGGGAAGGACTGGGGAGATGAGTCAAAGGGCTGAGCCACAGATTCTGTCTCCTGTACCACGTGAGAAAAATCCAGGTACCACAGCGGGAGTAGCCCCCAGGCATTGCCAGGTGTGGCCCCAAAGCAAACAAGAGAACGCTTTGGTTAAATAAAAACCCAGATGCTGAAAGTCCTAATCGTCACCACACTCTTGGCGCTTCAGTTCTCATGCTCTACCTGTCTAGCCACCTCCGGGAGAGAGGCGGTTATTCAACCCGCTTTCTAGATGAATCTGTAAGAAGTAGGAGGATTAAAAGGTTTCTTCAGCTTGCTGGAGCGATAGCACAGTGGGTAGGGCGTTCGCCTTACACGCGGCCAACATGGCCGACCTGAGTTCGATTCCTCCGCCCCTCTCGGAGAGCCCGGCAAGCTACCGAGAGTATTCGATATGCCAGACACAGTAACAACAAAGTCTCCAATGGAGACGTTACTGGGCCCGCTCGAGCAAATCGACGATCAACGGGAGGGCCTTTACCTTTACCTTTTACCCCTCCCCTATCTGGAGCTCATGTTCAAAGTGAAGTGAGTGACAGGGAGGCCTGATAACCAGCGGCCTGGGAGATAATATAGCAAGAAAGGCATTTGCGACCCAAGTTCAATCCCCAGCATCCCAAATGGTCCCCTAAGCACCACCAGGAATGATTTCTGGTTACTAAGCCAGGAGGAACCCCTGAGCACGGCCAGGTGTGCCTAGACCAAAAAAATGAAAACCAAGCAAAAAAAAAAAAAAATACCAAAGCGAGATGACGGGGTTGACAGATGATCAAGTGCCAGCTCCTTAAAAAGTTGCCTCATCCAGGCAACTGAAACTGAAACATCCATTTCAGTTTTCAAACGTCATAAAAAGGAAATCCTTCAAGCTGAGAATCGAAACTAAACGTAGAGCTTGGCTGGGGGCCATGCCCTATTAAGGTGGCGCCAGAACTCCCATGTCAGCTCAGTGGCCCTCAGTGGCGCTGCCACAGGAGACGGGCTTCAAGAGGGGGATTCTGGACTGGTCAGCCGCCCTCGCGTCACTCCCTACTAGCCCTTTATCCCACAGGACCTGCCCTGGGAAGGCACCACAGGAACCCCCTTAAAAAAGGGGTGTGTACCCGCAGCCAGGTAGGTGTGTGGTCATCTATCTGTCCAGCAGCCAGGCTCTTGGAACAGACATGGAGCTAGCCCCGGAACTGTATGAGACCCCGGCGTCCAGCCTGGACACCTTTGTGGCACGCTGGGTGCAGCCCACCCAGGAATGGAAGGAGGGGGTGCTGGAGGCCGGAGGCACCGTGGAAAAGTTCCTTCGGGAGGAGCGCTTCCAGTGGGAGCACGGGCTGGACCAGGAGGTGCGGATGCTGAAGGTACTCAAGGTAAATCTGTCCCCCTCCAGCCCCCGTCAGCACGAGGACCCAGGCCCGCCACAGAGGCCGGGGCCCTCCTGCCCCATTATCCCTTCCCTCTGCTGCCCTCTGCTCCCATCCCCTTGCATGGCTCCTTGCCACCAGCCTCAGAGCAAGCGGAATGAACCCACGAAGGAAGCTAATTATAGCCTCGCTGCTCTGTGCGTGTCCTTCTTAAATCTACGGCCTGGGGTGGGGGGCGAAGCTCTTCCCTTTTGACTGATGAAAGAAACGGAGGCACAGGGACTTAGGAGGGAATATCAAGCCAGTTGCAATGCCGGTCTCGGGGGGATCAGAGTAGATGAGAAGTAGCATTTGGGGGCACTGTGGTGTAGCCTGGCTATTAGAGAAGGGAATTATTGTTTTTTGGGTTTATGTTTTGAAGACACATCTGGCAATGTTCAGGCGTTACTCCTGGCTCTGCACTCAGGAATTACTCCTGGTGGTACTCAGAGGGCCATATGGGATGCTGGGGATCGAACTTGGGTCAGCCGCCTGCAAGGCAAGCACACTACCCACTGTGCCATATCACCAGCCCATGATAAGGGAGTTATTGTTGAGTTTGGTGCAATTACAGCTAGGGTTGGAGGAGGGCCTTGTCTTTTGCTGGGCACTAATGCCAGAATCTTTAGAGACCAACTTCCTTGGTGTCTAGAACATACTATTAAGAGGTTTAGGAGAGAAAAATGTGCCCGTTTCCCTTCTGGGCTCTCACTCATCAAGCAATGGGTATTCCTGGGCACTCTGCTTTTCTGGCTTTCACATCCCTTGCTGTGGGAAATGTTGGAGTTTGGGTTTTCTAGAAGCTCAGAGATATGGAGTGACTTACTTATGGTTGCACAGCTCCTGGTGGAGCTGGGATGCCCTATCTAGCCCCAGAACCAGGACTTCAGGCCGCCCCACTCAGTTTCCCCCACCCCCCACCGCTTCCCACAACTGCTTCATGTCCTAACTAGAATCAAAATTCAAGCAGGTCAGGGTTAGAGGCCTGAGAGAATTCCACAGCCTCGATCCCACTCAAATGTTAAGGAAGGGCAGAGCGATATAGTACAGCAGGTAGGGTGCTAGCCCTGCATGTGGTTGACCCAGGTTTGATCCCCAGCATCCCATAGGGTCTCATGAGTACCTCTAGGAGAGATTCCTGAGTGCAGAGCCAGGAGTAACCCCTGAGCATTGTCAGATGTGACCCAAAAACAAAAGAAAATCAAAAGAAAAAAAAGTATTCAGGAAACAAACACAGAAGGGCTGAAAGACGCTGGTGTCACAGCAAGTGTGGCAGAGAGACAAGAGAATGGGGACTCCTGGCTCAATGCTCTACTTCAACTCCCCCGGGGAAGGCACCCCAGGGAAGGACTCAGAAGCCCCAACCCCAGCCTCCTTTCCTCCTCACTTGCTTACATCAGAAGTTTGGGATGAACTCTCGGTTTCTCCCTTCCTGTATGTGACCACAGGCTGAAGGTCTTCTCACCTGTGACTGTATCTTCCCATCCACAACTCTACCTCATCCAGCAAACAGAACCATGCGAGCAGAACGCTCAGAGCACAGGGCTGGCCAGAACAAAAAGCAAAGCAAGGTTCTAGATGCTGACCACCACCCCCCACCTTCCTTCCAGGTCTGGGGTGCAAGTTTGAGTCCAGTGACCCTACTAGACCACCCAGCTGCTAACCCTGAGGCTAAGGCTGATGGCAAGAGACAGCTCCAAACAGAACTAGCCTTGATGGCCAGAAGTGGTATCTAGCCAGCATTCCAATTCTTCCCTCAGAGCTAGAGATAGGAGAGAGGTTAAGGTTCTCGCCTGGCATGCTGTGGACCTTGGTTCAGTCCTGGCACCACATAAGGTCCCCATAGCACCTCCAGAGCCACTTCTCCCCAATACGCCACTGAAAAATAGACTCAAAAACCAAGATCCAGGGCGGTGGGCATGTGACTTCATGGGTTCAAGGGTGGCCTTGTATATAACCTTGGTTTATTTCCCACATGGAAAAAAAAAAGGGCAAAAAAGTTGACCAAGGGGCTAGAGCAATAGCACAGCGGGAAGGGCGTTTGCCTTGCACGCGGCCGACCCGAGTTCAATTCCCAGCATCCCATATGGTCCCCTGAGCACCGCCAGGAGTAATTCCTGAGTGCAGAGCCAGGAGTAACCCCTGTGCATTGCCAGGTGTGACCCAAAACGCAAACAAACAAAAAAGTTGACCGAAAGCAACAACCAATGGGGAATAATATTGTTCAGACTATACCCTCTCCCACCATCACCAAAACTAAAAATCTCCCGGTGCTTGGGAGTACACACTCAAAGGGTCCCAATGGTAGCAAGGGATGAAGCCGTTTCTAGAAGATTCATTCCTTGGCATGGGATCTTATCATTGGGGAAGGAGAGGGAAGGGCAGAAACGAGAGTCCAGAGGGGTGTGGGTGGAGAGAGCCTGGGGAGGGAGGGGCAGAGGCAAACCCCGCCTTGGGTGCACACCCAGCCAGCAAACATGGGTCACAGGGCAGAAAGGGCTAGAAGAACCCCACCCCGTGACTGCCCTTCAGCTGACCAGACTGCACTGAGTTCCCGGCACCCAGTGAACAACCCCCACCTGGACTCAGTGTTCTCGTCTGCACATACAAGCTACTAATGCTTCCAGTACCCAATCCATAGTGTGAAGATTGACTTCTGTTGCACCATGCGTGGTTCCAGGCCACGGGTGGCATGAGGTAGAGTGCCGGTTCTAGGCTGCATTAGAAATAGTGAGCTGCAGGAGCGATAGTACAGCAGGTAGGGTGTTTGCCTTGTACGCAGCCAACCCAGGTTCGATCCCCGGCATCCCATATGGTCCCCCGAGCACCATTCCTGAGTGCAAAGCCAGGAGTAACCCCTAGCATCGCTGGTATGACCCAAAAAGAAAAAAAGAAGAAAGAAAGAAAGAAAGAAAGAAAGAAAGAAGGAAGGAAGGAAGGAAGGAAGGAAGGGAAGGAAGGAAGGAAGGAAGGAAAGAAAGAAAGAAAGAAAGAAAGAAAGAAAGAAAGAAAGAAAGAAAGAAAGAAAGAAAAACAGTGAGCCGGGGCTCCCCACTGCCCGAGTCAGCTGCCACCTCGGCAGGGAGGAAGAGGGAGAGGAAAAGAGAAGTGGGACTCTGTTCCCCCTGGGGTCAGGAAGACTAAAAATCTCAAAACACTAAAAAGAAAATTTCAATAGTGTCTACTTCTGGCTCCCTCTGTTCAAGATGGGGGTGGGGGTGGTGTTTGTACTGAATTGCCGGCAGACAACAGACTTAGGGCATCTAGAAAAAAAGAGGAGGAAGGGGGGAGGGGGGGCTGGAGAGATATACAACCAGGAAGGCATTTGCCTTGCATAGGGCCTGCCGGAGTTCAAGCCCCAGCACCCCAGAGGGTCCCCCAAGCACTAGGAGTGATCCCTGAGTGCAGAGCCAGGAGTAAGCCCTGAGCATTGCTGGGTGTGCCCCCCCCCAAAAAAAAGGAGAATTGAAAAAGAGCCTACGGGCTAAGGGGCACCATCAGGGGCCTCAGAGTGACGAGTTCTGTGTTCGGCAGGTGGGCTCCCTGGGGAACGGCACCGGGCTCCGAAGCTGCAGTGAGGTGGAGCTGGTGGTGTTCCCGAGTTGTTTCCGCAGCTTCCGGGAGGGAGCCAGTCTCCACCAGGCCATACTGCATCTGATTCGGAAGAGGGCCCAGCGCTCTAGAGATCTGCAGGCTGTGGGACTGGAGAGCGCCAGCGTGGTCCAGGGAGTTCCCGACGCTCTCATCTTCACCTTCTGGTCCTGGAGGATGCAGGAGCCCATCACTGTCAGCATCGTGCCGGCCTACAGGGCCCTGGGTAAGGGGCGGCCGCCTGCACCAATCCCAAACCTCGCCCTGGGGCCCCAGGCTGATTTATCTCTGGCTATGAACAGGAGACTCTGCACTTTACCGAGGAATCACCCAGATCAGGGGCCGAAAAGATAGTTCAGTGGCTAGGGCTCTTGCCCAGCACTCTGCGGACCCAGGTACCATGCCCTGAGCACTGCCAGGAGTAATCTCTGAGTGCAGAGTCAGGAGTAACCCCAGAGCATCAAAGGATGCAGCCCAACCCCCTCCTTGCCAATTAGATAGGAAAGGAAGTTCAAGGCATCAAGAGTATAGACAAGGGTCTGAGAAATAGATTAGCCCGAGTTGGATTTTCTTGGAGACAAGCAGGGGAGTCCAAGGGTTCAAGCCTGGGCTACGAGGTCTGTTTCCCCTGGAGGAAAAAAAGGCGGCAAGTTAGCTGGTCTCTCCCTCCAGACTCCCCAACCCTTGGGGCTTCCTAAACCCCCTCCCCGACTTTCTCCCTCTCTCCCCAGGACCTTCAGTTACCAACACTCAGCCTCCACATCCTGCTGTCTATGATGATCTGATTAAGGCCAAGGGCAACCCTGGGCATTTCTCCCCATCCTTCTGCGAACTGCAAAGAAACTTCGTGAAACATCGGCCCACCAAGCTGAAGAGCCTCATGAGGCTGGTGAAACACTGGTACCTGCAGGTGAGGGGAACAGCAGGGACTGGGAGAGCCGGAGGAGGAAAAGGGACAGAAAGGCAGAGGCTGCTGTCATCTTAGCAAGCCAAGATGGAGGGATGGAAGTGGAGAGAGAGAGAGAGAGAGAGAAAATCGCTGATCTTGGGAGCTGTCAAATGCAGAAAATGGTTGGTGGTGGAGGAAGAGGACAGAAAAGAGAAGAATTAAGATGCATTATATTCAGCCAACAAATGCTTATAATTCTCCAATTGCCGCTAATGATCACTTTACCCAGTCTTCCAAACGCTAACCTCTGCTGGGAAATACTGAGAAAGAAAGAAAGGAAGGGAGGAAGGAAGGAAGGAAGGAAGGAAGGAAGGAAGGAAGGAAGGAAGGAAGGAAGGACGGGAGGGAGAGAAAGAAAAAAGAAAGGAAGGAAGGAAGGAAGGAAGGAAGGAAGAAAGAAAGAAAGAAAGAAAGAAAGAAAGAAAGAAAGAAAGAAAGAAAGAAAGCAAGCAAGCTTCTCTCACCCCCAGAGTGATAGCACACACTCGCCTTGCACATGGCTGACATGGGTTCATCCATATGGGCCCCGAAAACCCACCAGGAGTGATCCCTGAGTGCAGAGCCAGACATCAGCCCTGAGCACCACCAGGGGTGACCCCACACAACACACACAAAAAGGAGAGCTTTGTTCCATCCCACTCGCACCCTTCTGTCCAATGGATGCAGCTCCCCAGTCTCCTGGTGCTTAACTGAATCCATGCCGAGATGCTTAGGTTTCACGTGCGAGTTCTGTATGGACCCAATCAATTTCAAAACATGCACATAATTAGTCATCTGAATCAGCATTTCTTGACAAGGGCAACAGGACCCCTAGGAGCTCCCCAAGTATTTCATGGGGGTAAGAATCATGTTAGGGAGGGCACACAGGATGAAATAAGGGGGCTGACTGATGGGGGGGGGGGGTCACAGGAAAGAAACCAGGTTGGAAGTCATGGTGGGACAAACTCTGATTTTTAAAATATAAGAAAGGAAGACTCAGAAAGAAACACAAAAGTTAGAAAGGGGGAAAAAAATTTTTTTAAAAATGTAAGAGTCCAAGATTTTAGAACTGTTATGGACTAGAAAACCTAAAAGGAAATAATAAGGGAGGAAATGAGAAAAATCACTAAAATTAATAAATTTGCAGTTTGTCTGGTCTTAGTTATATTTTTTGGTTTTGTTTGTGGGAGAGGGCTTGTATTTTTTATTTGGTTCTGTTTTGGGGGTGCAGTGTTTGGGCTGCACACAGGAGCCGTATGTGGTGCTGGGGATCAAATCCAGGTTGGCTGCCTGCAAAGCAAACACCCTCCCCATCATGCGTGCCCGTCAGTCCCAAGGTGGTTTTGTTTTCTTGGGTGCTGGCCATCAAACCCAGGGCCTCACACATGCAAGGTCTGAGCTCCACCCCAGTCTTTAGCCTCAACTAGTTGGTTTTTGGTAAGAAAATAGCAATCTCATGTGATGATCACATCAACCCAAGTTGTGATATATCTTCAGACACTAGCATTGGACAGCTAAAATTAAGTCGTTTGCATTGGTGAGTCAGTCCCAGAAAATGATCAAAAGTTGGATGCATCAGAGAAGTAGAACAAAACAAAGGCAGCATGGGCGGGCTGGCTCAGTTTGCTTGTTCTCTCAGTTCTTGCTTGTTTTCAGTGTGGAAAGAGCTTTCTTCCTGTGACGGTACGCAACTTTCTGTGTACCACAAACAATGATCTCAGCTTTATTTCTGTCTCCCAGCCCCCTTGTGTTCAAGTCTTTGCCCCAAGATGGGAATTTGGCTTTATAGGACTTTAGAATTATAGGACTTAAAGGACAGTTTTCTGCCCAAAAGTTCTTAATCACTTAATCACTTAATCCCCATTATTCATCAATTTACTCGAGCGGGTGCCAGTAATGTCTCCATTCATCCCAGTTGCGTGCTAGCGTAGCCCAATGGTATCTATTCGTTCTAGGAACATGCAGAGCCTCAAACCGATCATTCAGGGTCTTAACGAAGAAGTCTGACCATCTTGTAGGTGGACGTCCATGTGATCTTTTGATGTCCCGTGGAATCCAATCAGTAATGGCTCTAGTCCAGCGGTTGTCTGTAAACCTAATTACGTGTCCAGCCCATCTGATTTTTGATGTCTTGGCAAATGAGACAGCGTCCCTGATTCTTGAGCGTTGACGAAGATCAGAACTCCGGATTCTATCTCTCATTTGAGTGAATCGTAATATTCCAAGCATAGCTCTTTCGATTCCTCTTTGAGAGACCCGAATAGCGTTCTCATCCTGTTTTCGTAGGGTCCAGGTCTCTGAGGCATATGTTAATGCAGGAAGAATAGTGGAATCAAAGAGATGTGCAGATGTGCTCGTAGCTGGAGGTTCTTTGTCCTTTTAGTTATTTCTTCAACGTTCTTGAAGGCATTCCAAGCCGCTCTCTTCCTCCTGCGCAACTCAGGTGCCAGGTCATTCATCATGTTGATTTCTCGACCTAGGTATATATAACTGTTGCATTCGGAGATGGTGGTTCCGTTGAGAGTGAATGGAGCGTCAGGAACAAGGCTGTTTCTCATAAACATTGTCTTCGTAAGATTCAGCTGTAGTCCGACCTTTCCACATTCACGGTCAAAGTCGTTCAACATTTGTGCCGCTAGGCTGATGTTTGGTGTTATTAGAACGATGTCATCAGCAAAGCGGAGGTGGTGTAGTTGCCGACCATCTATCTTCACTCCCATGCTTTCCCATTCCAGTCGTCGCATGATGTTCTCGAGGGTGGCACTGAAGAGTTTTGATGAAATGGTATCACCCTGCCAAACCCCTCTCTTGATATGGATGATTACTTCTTTGTAGAATGGTGAGATCTTGGTAGTGAATCTGCAATAGAGCTCATGAAGGATCCTGATGTATTGAGTTTGTACGCCCTGATTGGCTAGGGTTTCCATGACCGCTTCCGTCTCAACAGAATCAAAGGCCTTCTTTAAATCAATGAACGTTAGACAGAGCAGCATCTTGAACTCTCGAGAAACCTCAATGAGCTTATGTGGATATGGTCGATGGTACTGAATCCTTTTCGGAATCCGGCTTGTTCACATGGTTGTCCTTCATCTAGTGTTCTGCTAATCCTATTCAGGATGACTCGAGTGAACAGTTTGTAGACGATAGACAATAGGCAGATTGGGCGATAGTTGCCAATGTCGTGGATGTCTCCCTTCTTGTATAGTAGTACAGTCCTGCTGGTTTTCCACTGGGATGGAACCTTGCATTCAGACAAGTAGCGTGTGAAGAGCCAAGCCAATGTATTGATGAGTACTGATGGTAAGTTGTTCAGGTGTTCAGGTCTGATCTTGTCTGGGCCAGGTGCTCTTTGTTTCTTTACCGACGAGATGGCATGTTGGATTTCGGAAGGGAGAACATTGGGAACGATATAGTTAGTGTTATTAATTTTTTGTTTTATCTGACAAGGTTTCACTATTAGAGGATGTGTTGATCAATAAATACACAAGTATAATAAAGAGCACAGGTTGTATGATGGGCAAATCTGGGGGTCCCTATTGATGAAGAGGCTCCAGTTCTGTTTCCTTGGGAAGCTCAGGAAAAGCCTTGATACGGTCACTTATGCTTATTGCTCGGCGTTTAAGGCTTTCATCGGTCGACCTGCTGGGTTGGGACCACGGATCATGCAGGGCAGCTCTTCTAGGTTATACATGAACTATGCAACTGACGCTGGAGAAGCTCATGGACTGCCCCTAAACGCATCCTTCTTGCTATTGTAATGCAGGGCTTTCATAAATCTGACAACATGTCAGGCCAGCTTCCAGGAAGGTCTTTAGAAGCACCCTTTCCACATTTGAGGAGCTGCCCTTGATATATTTTTTTAATCTTAACCAACGAACTGTTGTGGCGGGGAAGGGTAATGTTTTGTTGTTTTGGTTTGCTTTTGTTTTGGGGGCCACACCCAGCAGTACCTAGGGTTGACTCCTAGCTCTGTGCTCAGGGATCATTCCTGGAGGGTTAGAGGTACCATACGAGATCCCGGGGATTGAACCCAGGTAGTCCTTGTGCAAGGCAAGTACCCTACCCGCTGTACTGTTGCTCTGGCCCCTTGGGCGGGGGTTGTTTTTTGGGGCGATTTTTTTGTTTGGTTTTTCCTATTTTGAAGGCTTTAACCTAATGTTATTCTAGGAACATGGTGGAATTTATTCCAATTTGACTGAGATTTTAATATCACTTTTTAGGTTTGTTTTCTGGGAGATGCAAGTTGAAGCATACAATCTCAAGGCTTTGAATGCATTCACAAGGGCCAGAGAAGTAGTACTGGAGTGAAGGTGTTTGCCAGTTCAAACCTATTGTCCTGGGCACCTGCAGGTGTGGCTCCCAATCCAATAAATACAGTAACAGTGTATAACTATCACCCCTATTTGAAGGAACTTAGTCATCACCATATATATAGAAACTTTGTACCTAGTAAACGCCTGTTCCACCCTCACTACCCCCCCCCCCCCCCGGCCCCACCCCAATCCCTGGCAACCAGCACTCCACATTTTATCTCTAGGAATTTGCATATGTCCTGTCCTCCACTTAAGTGGAATCACAATGTTGCAGATGAGGAGAGGGGTAGAGGGGGTGTAAATCTTTGTGGCAAGAGAGTGGAAGGGGAGTCCTGAGAAATAATACAGTAAGGCCGACCCATGTTCAATCCCCAGCATCCCATATGATCCCAGAGCACCACCAGTAATAATCATTGAGTGCAGAGCCAGGAGTAATCCCTGAACATCTTTGTCCCAAAAAAGGACAGAGACAAAGACAGAGACAGAACAGAGGGGGGAGAGAGAGAGGAGGGTGATGCCATATTAGTCCACGGAAAATTGATGACTAGAATTTGAGACAAGACATTTTCAAAGAAGCACCAGTTTGGGGGCTGGAGCAATAGCACAGCGAGTAGGGCATTCGCTTTGCACTCAGCCGACCCAGGTTCAACCTCCGGCATCCCATATGGTCCCCCAAGAACCACCAGAAATAATTGCTGGGCGCAGAGCCAGTAGTAACCCCTAAGCATCGCTGGGTGTGAGGAGGAAGTGGAGGAGGAGAAATAAGAGGAGGAGGAGGAGGAGAAGGAGGAGGAGGAGGAGAAGGAGTAAGAGGAGGAGGAGTAAGAGGAGGAGGAGGAGGAGTAAGAGGAGGCAGAGGAGGAGGAGGAGGAGGAGGAGGAGGCAAAGAAGGAGAAGGAGAAGAAGGAGAAGGGGAAGGGGAGAGGAGGAAGAAGAAGAAGGAGAAGGAGGAGGAGGAGGAGGAGGAGGAGAAGGAGAAGGAGGAGGAGGAGGAGGAGGAGGAGGAGGAGGAGGAGGAGAAGGAGGAGGAGGAGGAGGAGGAGGAGGAGGAGGAGAAGGAGAAGGAGGAGAAGGAGAAGGAGGAGAAGGAGAAGGAGAAGGAGAAGGAGAAGAAGAAGAAGAAGAAGAAGAAGAAGAAGAAGAAGAAGAAGAAGAAGAAGAAGAAGAAGAAGAAGAAGAAGAAGAAGAAGAAGAAGAAGAAGAAGAAACCAGTTTTTAGAGAGGCATCAAAGAGCGCCGTGGAACCGCTGTTGTCTAGGGCTTTTACAGGTCCTCTTCACAGGAGCATGAATTGGGACCGCGGCTGCATGGGCAATGATGCTCTCTGTCCTCTTCCGAGCTTATGAGCAAGATGTCTAAAGCCTCTTGGCTCCATGAGGCAGCTCCAGGCATATTTTGATAGCTAAGTGCTTTGGAAGCTGCAGGCTGTGCCAGGGGCTCACAGACCTTGGAGACTGTTTCCTGGCAGAGGAAGATTGTTGACTCTCTCCCAACTTGGCCTGCAAAGAATTGTAAACACTAATACTGACCCTGAGGAGTCATTTGCAGACAGCACTGGATTGTAAGATAGCAGAGGGATTGCAGTTTTTAAGGTGGTTGAAGATGGCATGTCTCCTGGCAACCAACTAGGGAAAACAGAGGAAATCTCTTTGAACAATAGCATTTGTCCTTTGGGTTTTATTTAATCTCACCCTCATTCTTACTTGTGGGGTTACCGTACCTAACTTGAATGAAACTTCTGGCAGAAATGCAAATGTGCTTGTAAATCTGATTAATTGTTGATAGATGGACTTATCCAGTTTATCCTCATAAGGAGGACAGATTTAGTTTGAATTTATTATAAACATTGAACAGTCTTGAAAAAGGAACTTCACAAAGGAAACTTAGAGAATGTTTAATCATCTTCCTCGTAATTTTATAAGCAATTCCATTTAATCTTATTTGAAGACTTGTTTTACATTATCTTTGAGTTTTTTAAGTTGTTAGACATTGTACAGTGATTTTTATTCTGAGTAAGGTATCATTTAAAGACTGTTTAATATCACTTTGAACAAGTGTAGCCTTAGAGTGAGGTAGGAGCTAGATCAAATAGAAAATATCCTACATGGAAAGAAGTATATACACCAGCATGATCGATTCTCACTTTGTTGATCCTTGGCTAAGCAATCAACTTTTTATGAGGCCCTCTGCTGGTGGAGTCGGGTGAAATGTTGATTCCATTTCCTTTGGCAGTGATAAAAATTTCCAATAATAGAATAGAAGATGGAAATAAACTTGCAGATCAATCATATTGTCATCAGACTATTCTTTTCTAAAATGGCCTGAAACAAGTGATCAGTGTTTTTCCAGAAACCAAATAGTTGGAAGTTGGATGAAAATGATCACTTGCTATGCATATTAGAAAGGTTCTTGAGAGGAAGAAACTGGTGTCCATTAAGATGCCTTCTTTCAGCAGCAACGGAAATATAGAAAAGCCAACTCAAAGTGCATTAAACTATAAGAAAATTACCAGGCCCTTGCAAAGACCCCTCCCAGCAAGAAAAAGCTTCACACACTATTCAGAGAAGGATCTGGCTCGATTTCTCTCCCCTTCCCTCCTCTGTATGTCAGCTTGATCCTCAGACAGGATTCCCGCAAAGCGATAAAATGGTCACAACTGCTCCTGCCCTCACATCCATTCCCAAGAGAGGAACTGACTTTTTTCTTTTCTTTATTTTTTCATGTTGTTCCTTTACTTACTTTTAGCACATAGTTCTCTTTTTCTCAATATTTGATTACATTTAATATTCAAACACCAATCCCACCACGATTACACCTTCCCACCACCATATTTCAAATGTTTCCGTCCCAAACCCTAAACCCTGCCCCAAAGCAGAACTGAGATCATTTATCTTATATTACTTGTTATGAATAATCCACTAAAAATGATCCAAAAGAGGTTTATTAGAGGAAAGTGTGTGAGGATTGTTGCATTTCATGCAGGAGCCAGTAAGCCCTTCTATAAGAGATTAGTAACATGTTGTTAAAGGTTGAGACTTGTGTACATATATGTGTGTGTGTGTATACATATCTTTATAAGTATATTTCCCCCTAAGATTGGTTGCCTTCTACTTTAAACCCCATCAAATGTAGTGTGCTACTTTTGGTGTATTAGTGGTGTAAAGTATGAGATGTCGCATGGCCGCAAATGCAGGGATAGATTCACTCCTCCTTGGTGAGGCTCGTCCAAGCATGTGGAGATCAGCCATAAGCACGGCGGCGGTAAGTTCTGGAGGTTTTCCGCTGCTGGGGCTGGCTCCGGTGGGGCAGGGAAGTGCCTCACTGGCCACCCTCCCGGGTGCCCCGAATGAAACAGCCTGTCGCAGGATCTGGAGGCACGCTGGTGGCAGGTCATTTTATGTTCTCATCTGAGAGATTTATTGTTGAGTCTCAACTTAACTTCTTTCGACCACTAAACAAAAGTGCTAGGCTTTCCTCGATTCAGCCAACTTAAATCACATAACTTTTCTTAGACCTGTCGCTTGGAAAAGGGACCAGCTTTATGCTCATGGTCCAGACAGGACTCACACAGGGGTGAGATGAGGCCCCAGGCAAACTGGGGTGGTAGCTCCCCAGTACAGCCCTGGGTCTTGCATGTGTGAAGCTTTGGGTGTGAACCCTTGCACCATCAAGAATAAATAAATAAAAATAAAACATTTAAAAACATCGTTCCCATACAAATATGTGGGTGTCAGACATAATGAAGGATGCAGTACCACCATAGGGGTGTGGCACCCTCCTGGAACTCAGCTATTTCCTACCTGTGAGTCTCTTCTCCTGCCCACTCCCACTGCAGCTTGCAGTCCTTATGGGAAAAAAGCCTTCTTAGAGACACATGCTGCCCGAGGCCACGTGCTGCTTGTGCCCATGTGGTCCTCGTGGTGCCCGAGCACAGTTGTCACTGCATGCCCCCTCTTCAGATGTGCACATTCACATCTTCATACTCTAACGCTAGGCTGTGGACGGGGCGAGGCACGCATTCTCTCCTGAGTGTTACTCTCTCTTTCTCTCCTTCCTTCCCCTGCCTCAAAACTTGCAAATAGAACCTGTTTTACCTTCACTGTAGCACTGTCCTCCCATTGTTCATCGATTTGCGATTTGCTCAAGTGGGCCCAGTAACATCGTGAGACTTGTTGTTACTGTGTTTGGCATATTGAATACATCACAGGTAGCTTGCCAGGCTTTGCCGTGAGGGCGAGATACTCTCAGTGGTAGCTCTCCGAGAGGAGCAGAGGAATCGAACTCAAGTCGGCTGGGTTGGCCGGGTCAGCCTCGTGCAAGGCAAACGCCTTACCCGATGTGCAACCTTCACTGAAAAAAAAAAATAATTCTTAGAAACCCACTATACTGCACTTTAAAAAATCCCATCTGTTTACAAGTGGGGGGCTCTTCTTCATACCTGCACTTCGGAAGGTTTTGTTGTTGTTGTTGGTTTCTTGGTTGGTTTGGTTATGGGGGGGCACACCTGATGATGCTCAGGGGTAACTCCTGGCTCTGCACTCAGGAATCACTACTGGGTGCTTGGGGGACCATAGCGGATGTTGGGGTTGGAACCCAGGCCAGCCACATGCAAGGACTGCTTGTACTATCGCTCCGACCCCCTGAGTTAGGTCCAGAAGTTAGGTTGGTGGGAAACTCGGTGAATGAGCTGGGTGGGAAATAGAAAATGGCATCAGGGCTGGAAGAGAGTGTGGCATAAACCCCAGGGCAGCACCCAGACCATGGGTTTTTGCCTCTGGCCAGGCTCATCCTTACCCAGAACCTGGGGCTCTCCCATCTGTTCCACAGTACGTGAAAGCCAGGTCCCCGAGGGCCACGCTGCCCCCGCTCTATGCCCTCGAGCTCCTGACCGTCTATGCCTGGGAGATGGGTGCTGAGGAGGAGGAGAGTTTCCCCCTGCATGAAGGCCTGGCCACAGTGATGGAGCTGCTCCAGAACTACCAATTCCTCTGCATCTACTGGACCAAGTTCTACTCGCTGGAGGACCCGGTCCTCGGGGACTTCGTCCGGAAAAAGCTCAAAGGGGAGAGGTACGGGGCCACTCAGGCCCACAGGCGATGCACCAGAGAGGGAATTCAGGACAAGGGGGCCGGCTGGCTGGGGGAGACTCTAAGGCAGTAAAGACACCGCCAGTCACAGACTCACTATGTTGACACCTGAGACACCTCGTCCCAGAAGCAATTGGAGCTTAGACTCTGGAAGGCTGGTCCCTGTCCTTCCGGCCACCACACCCCTACCCCAGCCTCTCACCCTCAAAGGCCAGATATGGGCATCAGAGAGAGAGTCTCAGCGCATGGAGTCTGTCCCCTTGGCCAGGGAGCCCCTGGTCCTCACTGATAGAACACAGCGAGGACCATTGAAGGTTGGAAGAAATTTTAGAGGTGAACAGCCGATGGAATGTGGATAGAGGCTCTGATCAGTGTGCCCTATCCATCTCCCAGGGCTCCAACCCTCTCCCAGAGGTTGGCCTGTCCTTCTGTCAGCACCAGTAGCTCTTTGCCTGGAGCCTCCTCTTCCCAGCAGTCCTCCCGATTTACTCGTGTAAATATTCCAGGTCCCACCCAATGACCCATGAGCACAGGCAGTGAATACCCAGCCCCCTCACATCTCCAATGGAAGGACTCTCAGGGTCACGGCTTCTCCCCTGCTTCCCCAAGCCACTCCAACCCCTGGTAATCCCCGTGGCCCCAGGCCCATGCTGCCCTCCCAGCCCTGTCTCACTCACTCACTTGCTGACCCTTTTATTGGTAATTCCAGGTACTTTCTCCCAAATAAGCCACTTGCACTTGAACTCTCTCATCTTAGGGTCTGCTGCAGGGAAGAACCCACCCAGCCTGACGACCCTTGACATTAACAGCTCAGGGTCGTGTGTGTAGTCACCAGGATGTTTCCGTGTTTATGAGCCTCCCTTGCGAGTCATGGGTGTTCTTTATTTTGCTTTTTGGGTCAAACCCTGCGATACACAGGGGTTACTGCTGGCTCTGCACTCAGGAATTACTCCTGGCGGTGCTTGGGGGATCATATGGGATGCTGGGAATCGAACCCAGGTCAGCCACGTGCAAAGCAAACACCCTCCCAGCTGTGCTATCGCTCCAGCCCCGCGGGTGGTTTTTTAACAAGGACTAAAAACCCAGTATCCTTCCAGGAGTGGAGGACTGAGGGCCCAGGGCGATCGTAAAGGGATGAAGGGCTTAAGCTCTCGCAGGTGGGCAACCCCAGTTCAGTCCCCAGCACCCCCCTGAGCATTGCCAGGAGTGACCCCTGAGCACAGAGATAGGAGTAGCTCCTGAGCACTTCCAGGTGCGGCTGGGGATCCCACAGAATTTTTTGATTTGTTTTTTGAGGGGGCACATCTGGCAGTGTTCAATGTCCGGTACCACATGGGTATTGTGGTGCCTGTCCGCACGAGCTCCCCCCCGCCTCCGCCGCAGGGCTGGGCATTGGCTCTTGAGTCACTCCCCAATTTCTTGCAAAGAGGACCTCCAGGACTCTCACCAGGGTCCCCAGAGCTGCACCAGGAGTGATCCCTGAGTGCAGTCAGGAGTAAGCCCTGAGCACCTCCGGGTAGGACCCAAAAAAACAGAAATAAAAAAAATAATAAAATCAGCCAAGGAGATGGTTCGAAGGCCTCCTTTCACATGTGAGGCCTCTGAGTTCAAATCCCAGTACCACATGGTTCTCCAAGTTCCTATGGGTATGGAATCCTCCAGAAATAATAATAATGATAGTCATAAAATAATGCACAGAATTTCAAGCCCAAAGCCTCGATGCATGACAATCGTTGTTGGTGGTGGTGATCGTGTCACTATTCCCCAAAGCAGCTCAGCAGTGCCAGCCTTGATCACAGCTGCAGAAACGTCTGAGTGTATAAGCCCCCCTGCAGGGCTGGGCATTGGCTCTTGACCCAGCCCCCAATTTCTTTCATCTTTTAAGAGGACCTCCAGGACTCTCTTTGGGAGGAATTATGGGGGACAGACCCAGCCCTTCTGTCACTCCCGGGCGGTGTTATGAGCTCGTCCTGCATGGACAAGCCCAGGCTCTAGACAGAGTGACCCCTCAGGGGCCTGAGAAGAAGGTTCTTCTCTCTGGTTTGCGTGCCTCCCCACCAGAGAGAGCACCCGGACCCTCTCTCCCTGTGTTTCAGGCCCATCATCCTCGACCCCGCAGACCCCACCCACAATGTGGCTGAAGGTTATAGGTGGGACATCGTGGCTCAGCGAGCAAGCCATTGCCTGAAACAGGACTGTTGCTATGACGACAAGGACAACCCCATCCCCAGCTGGAATGTGAAGGTAAAGTTACCAGCCGAGTCTGTGGCTCTGTGTCTGTTCCCCCCACAGCCAATAAGGCTGTAGAATCAGAAGGGTGCTCAGGGGCTACTCCTGGCTTCGTGCTCAGGAGCGACCCCTGGCGGTGCTCAGGGGACCATATGTGATGCTGGGGACTGGGGCTCTGGCTGGCGCCAGCATCACGCAAGGCAAACGCCTTTCCTCCTGTACTATCCCTCGAGCCCTAGAAAATTTGCAACACGGCTACACCAGATAGCAGCTCCATAAACTTGGGGAAGATTCAGACCTCTGCCCTCTGGGTTGCTTATCTGCAAGTACTTGTTCTCCTTTTCTTGTTCCCATAACCTGCTGGAGAATCCATTCTGGCTCTCATCCCTCTTTGCACGAGCCCAGTAAAGCTAAGTTAGCCAACTACATTGGATCACCACTTGACTTGTTTGGGTCTGGGTGGGATGAAGACGAGGGGGCAATATGGGTAAAGAAATCCTGCACAGTTGGGGCGGAACAATAATAGTACAGCGAATTGGGCATTTGCTTTGCACGCAGCCAACCCAGGTTTGATCCCCAGCATCCCATATGGTCCCACGAACACCACCAGGAGTGATTCCTAACTGCAGAGCCAAGGGTAACCCCTGAGCACCATTAGGTGTGACCACCCCAAAAGCCAAAAAATAAATAAAAGAAATAAAAGAAAAAAGAAAAAGAAATCTTTCACAGATCTGATCCCAGATTTTATTGGGAAGCAAATCCATGGAACAGTCTTATGCAAAACTTCTAGAATTACCAGAGAAGATACTTACCAACCAAAAATGCTGAATAATATTATAGTCTTATAATAATATTATATCATAATTTAAAGTATAGCATAATAATCATTACATTGTAATAACTATTATATAAAATGCACTGATATAATAATATTATTATTATATTATAGCATGATGCCAAGTCTACAGTGCAGGCAAAGATCATCATAATTGGGGCCAGAGTGATAGGATAGCAGGCAGGGCTTTTTCCTTGTAAGGGGCCGACCCAGGTTCAATTTTCGGCAACCCATATGGTTCCCCAAGCACCGCCAGGAATAATTTCTGAGTGAAGAGCCAGGAGTAACCCCTAAGCATCAGGGGGTATGATCCAAAAAGCAAAGAAAAAAAGATTATCATAATCTGTGTTATTCATTTTCTACTTTACCATTTGCATGGCACTTGGCCAGGGAAAATTTTGAACAGTGGGAAAGTCCAGAGTTTTGCTCTTTGTTTGTTTGTCTGGGGGCTGTTCTCAGGACTTACTCATGGCTCTGTTGAGAAATCCCTCGTGGCAGGGTTTTGGTTGGCAATATGTGGTGCCAGGAACCAAACCTGGGTTGCCAGATACAAGGCGAGAGTCTTAACCTCTGTACTATCTCTTTGACCCCCAAATCAAGTACTGTATAATTTTTTTTGGCTTTTGGGGTCACACCCGGCAATGCACAGGGGATACTCCTGGCTCTGCACTCAGGAATCACTCCTGGCGGTGCTCAGGGGACCGTATGGGATGCTGGGAATCAAACCCGGGTCGGCCGCGTGCAAGGCAAACGCCCTACCCGTTGTACTATGACTCCAGCCCCTGATCTTTACCTTTATCATCATCGTCGTCACCTCCATTTTAAAGATGAGGGAACTGGGAACTGAGGCTCCACGAGGATGAGTGAATCAGCCAAGGCCACACAGATAAGGGACAGCAGAGCCAATATTCACACCCACGTGTTGTGGAGGCTCCGGAAACAGAACATAAATATTATCTGAAGTTTCAAGAGAATAAGCAACTGGAACAAGCAAGGGCTGGGCGGGGCCCTAAAAACCGTGGGGGGTACAGCGAGGACACTCCATCTAGGGGCGAGGATGGGGACGGGGTGGCGCAAAAGACGTTTAAACGAAGTTATTGTTGGCTGGCTGTCGCTATTGCTGCCGTTGAAAAGCTGCCATCAAAGGGAACTTGGCACACAGGCTGGAAGGGCATTAACCCCCTCCTTCTCCTCTCCCTCCAGAGTGCTCGGGACATCCAAGTGACTGTGGAGCTGTCTGGTTACCCCGACTTGATCCTCTGGGTGAACCCTTATGACCCCATAACAAAGATTATAAAGAAAATTCGGCTGCGAAGGAGCAGGCGCTCTTCAGTCCAGCTGCGGCTGTCTTTCCAGGAGCCAGGGGGGGAGCGGAAGGGCCTCGCCGCCCAGTGCTCCTTGGCCTATTATGGGATCTTCGCCAGCGTCCACCTCCTTCTGCTGGAGACTGTCCCCCCGGAGAGGCAGGTCTTTGTGAAGAACCTGCATGGAGAGAGCCAGGCCTACGCCATTCACCCCAACAGCTTCATCGGGAACCTGAAGCAGCAGATTGAACTCAGGCAGGGGCTGCTCCAAACACAGCAGGAGCTTGAGTTCCAAGGCCAAGTCTTGCAGGATTGGTTGAGCGTTGGGAACTACGGGATCCAAGACAACAACACCCTCATCCTCTCCAAGAAGAGAGCAGGAGGAGAGGCTCCCCTTCCGTTCAGCTAGTCTCCTCCAAGAATCCTCTCCGTACCGTCTATTCCTGCTGCAGCCCACCCACTACCCCTTCCAGCTCTCCGCTGGGCAGGCCCCACCTCTTCTCCACTTTTATCACAGCCCACCAGAGCCAGAATCAAGAGGTATAGGAGAGACACCGAATGAACATCGGCCAAACTATATATGACAAGAGAACTCCCACCCACCAACTCTGCAGTCACCAACTCTGGGAGCCAAACCACCACCTCCGCAGTCATCAACCCCAAACCATCGGGGGCTTTGTCAAAAACTGCCAATTTCCCCTAAGTCCCACCTCCTTTCAACTTAGGACCAACCACAGCTAGCTAACTAGGTTCCCTAACCAATCTCATGATGCCCTGGACAGCCCTCCTACAGCTTCCGGTTGAAGTTTATTTTTTCATTAAAAGTTTTTGCATTGACCCGTTTTTCTCCTTGACACCCATTGAGTCTCCTAAACTGCTAGGGATGCAGCTGACCACATTGGAAATCATTTATCTTGGTTCTCATGTCGGTGGTCTACTCATTTCCACTGCGGCTAATGTTGTCCTCCAAGCTACAGTTATTATTTGAACTTTTCAATCTGAAGAAGTGAGGACCATGGGGAAACGAAGACAAAGAAAATTCCTGTCTGGGAGGCAGGAATAATGGTGTGGTTTCCCTCCCCCCAACTCCACGCACACAATACGATATTTTAGAAACAGTACAGTATTTTAGAAAATAGTGTCTTTAGATTCAAAGGACATCTGGTGACCATATTTTGACCAATCAATCAAGTACCTCTTCCTGCCCTCCCCTTTTATCCTGCATTAGGATGAACAACTAACCATAGGATATAAAATGTGGTTTGTTACTGGTTTTCAACAGCCTCTGGGAAATTTTTCAGTGCTAACCTATTTCCCACCACCCTTGCCTTGATGGGCAAAAACAATGAACGTGTCTCCTTTCTATGGGATAGTGCAATGATATTCAGATCCTTTAATACCCAACACACACACACACACACACACACACACAAATTTTTTTAGTATCAAGGATAACTTACATTGTAGATAGTGGGCAAATTCTTGCTTAAAGAAGGGAACTGAAGTCATCTCCCTCCCTTTTATAATAGAAAAGCCTGAGGACAAAAACTGTGTTAATAAAATTATTGACACACTAAACTTCAGATATTCCCATAAAGAAAAGTATTCCAAAAACCAAAGCAATTCTGTTCCTTCTTCCCATTGCAATTTTTTTTCCCTGCAGAGATACTAGACTGTGGAACTTGCGTAAGTCATGGGGATCCGGAGTTAAACATTTCCCAAATGTTCCTCCTGTGTAGGCAATAGAAGTCCTATGTAGAAAGTTTGTGAGGCAGACAGGAGGGACCCCTCTTTCTCTCAGGAAGTAACAAAACTGACATACGAATTCAAGAAGATATTTTGTCTCAGCACAAAGTAGCCCCAAGATATCAAGGCTGAAAGCCCTGAGATGCAGAAGTGAAGGCATTAGACCAGCAGACTGCACCCCTTTGAGAGAAGAAGCTCTAGAAGAAATGAAAGGCTGTGATATGGAAGAAAATCACCAAAATTTCCAAGTTCTTCTCTTGAGCAACACCTCAATAACAAATTCTTCCCTAAGCCCCAAGGGGTTGGGGAAATTTGAGTGAAACCCAATAAAAGTCACTTTGAAAAGCAAGCAAGCCGGAACGTTTCCCTTTTCTGGGATTCACCCGCATCTCACCTTGGTGTCTCTCAGCTCTCGCCTCTCTGGAAAGCCCCTCATTCTCTCTCAAACATGTTTATCTCCACTCACATTTCCTGAGTGGAAATAGTTTACTTCACAGAAATCACTTCACACTCTCCTCTTACAACTCCTTTCTGTGAGGGTGGAGGATGGGTCTGGGAGTCTGGGGAGTCTGGGTAGTCCTTCTACAATGAGCAATTCTGCTCTCCAGTCCAAGGCTACAGTCCTAAAGATTCTAGTGGTGGGATCTAGTTTCTGAGCTGTGACGAGCAAGTGGATCTTGGGTTCAATTTGATAGCTGCCCTACAGGGCCTGTGGGGCACTAGCATCCATTCTGGGCAGATGCTTGTGGCAAACTTGACCAGTCCAAGTCCACCCAAGCACACCCCCAGGGAGGTTAAAGTAGGTCAAGCAGGGTAATGGCTCTCTCTCTCCTCTGGCTCCCTCACTCCCTCACTCTCTGTCTCTCTCTGTCTTTCTTTTTGCCTCCTTGACTCTGCCACTTCACTGAAATCATTTGCAGAACTTCCCCAAACTGTACATGAGAACCAGGGAAAGCTGCTTCCCAACCTGGAGGTCTTATTTCAGTTTTATTCGTAGCTTGAGGTGCTCAGGGCTTACTCCTGGCTCTGTGTTCAGGAGACCCTATGTGGCGGTGGGGATATAACCCAGAGTGTGCAAAGCAAGAAACATATCTGTTGTACTATCTCACCAACCGAGGAGATCTTATTAAACACTATTTTGGTTCTGGTCTAGTCATATGCCAAAATTCCTTGTTTCTAACCATCCCTGGATTGTTGCTGAAGTACAGATTACTGAGCCCCACTTCAAAAAGATAACGATTCTGTAATTTTTTAGCTATATCCAGTGATCTGCGTTTTAACAAGCTCCCTAGAATGTTCCTCATGAGTAGATGGACTTCAGAATTCCTGGAATAAATCAGTTAAAATTGAAACTCTCTTGGATCCTAAGACGGGAACCAATCCTGGCTCCATGGGTGACCTCGGGAACTTCCTTCCCTGGTGTGTGTCCCAGTTCTCTCATAAGGAAAAGGGAACGAGGAGATGATCTCTTAGGCTCTCTAGCTCATGTCTGAAAACACGAAAATCCCCAAGCGCAGTTCGTACCAACGCTCGCCTAAGTCGGAGAACTACAATTCCCACAATGCTTGTCGACACTCGCTGCGTCGCGGGGCGGCTCGCACGTGCGAGCCCTCCCCACAATCCTTTGCGGCAGCCAAGATGGCGGCGCCCAGTGGCGCCATGAGCGGACTGGAGAGCAGCGGCGGCGGCAGCAGCGACAGCGACGCGGAGGAGCTAGCGCGGTGCCGCGAGGCGGCGATGCCAGCCTGGGGCTTGGAGCAGCGCTCGACGGGGCCGGGAAGGCCGCGAGCCGGTAGGGGGCGGCACTCGGAGCGTCTGGCGGCGGGGCGGGGGTCCCCCCGGGGCGGGGACCGAGGCCCCTCGCCCCGAGAGCGCCCCACGGACGGGTGAGGCGCAGAGTGGGGTGGTTGGCCCCGGTCAGGGCCGAGGCCCCCGAAGGTCTCGACTCCGCAGGCCTGGGCCCTGCCCCGCGGGGGCATCCCGGACTCTCGGTCCAACGCGCGGCCCCTCCGGCGCTCGTGCAGGTCACGGGGCCCCCACGTGACTCTGACCCTGGCGGCCCAGTGCCCAGGGAAGAAGTCCCAGAACGAAGGAGCGTCTGGCCACTGCGAAGCGCCGGGAGGGCGTGAGCCTTCCACCCACTTCAGGGCGAACTGAACTGAACCAGGGGCTGGAGCAATAGCGCAGCGGGGAGGGCGTTGGCCTTGCACGCGGCCAGCCTGGGTTCGATTCCCAGCATTCCATAGGGTCCCCCGAGCACCGCCAGGGCTGATTCCTGAGTGCAGAGCCAGGAGTAAGGCCTGTGCATCGCCAGGTGTGCCCCAAAAAGCCAAACAACAACAACAAGACGTAAACTGACACCAAACGTTGAGCAAGGAAGGGACCAACTTTGATTTCTTCTGCACGGAGCTGCATGGGAACCCCAAGACTTGGTTCATCGCCCAGAAGGCCAGTCAGTGCAGCTTCAGACCGGCCATGTAGTTGTGACGTTTGACTCTGCCTCTCCACCTGAAAGTGAGGACAACAGTGCCTGCTGGCGGGTGCCCGTAAGGTCTCGCCTCCACGGCACAGAGGCGCAGGGCCGCAGCCAGAGGAGTAGCAAGTGCTCAGTCCGTGCCAGCGCACAGGGCATCTGGGTTTGCCTTGCTGGCCGATCCCCTCTGCAGCCCGGTGACCCGGAATCCCACCCAGACACATGAGGTTATTAGCTGTTGGGTTGAGTTGACTTTCATCTCCTTCCCTCCCTTTCCTCTTCTGCAAAGTGGGTACAATGGGGGGGGGCCTTGAAGAGGGGTGGTGGGAAATGAACTGTCCGGCCAGATCAGTGGACAGTCTGGCCTGCAATAGCTGTGAATATTGGTATTTCTCCCACCGGGCCTGTTCTTGTTTTCCACAGACCCTGCAAAGAACCAGTTGCCAACCACCCAGCCAAGCCTCAGGTACCTGCCGCTCGGGTTAGGCTTTGCTCCATTATTTCCCCAAATGTCAGTGCCCTGCAGGTTACCCACCGCTCCGGGAGACCCCCAGAGGCCACGCCCCTGTGGGAGCCTGCCTGTGAGCTGGCAGGAGGTGAGGGGGTGGGAAGAGCCTTGGCTAGACTCCTGGAGGCCTGCTGGGGGCAGGGGTGTGCCTCGGAGCGGGCGGGAAGTGAGGGCCTGCCGTGTGTCGTAGGCGCAAGGTGCATGAGCAGGACGGCAACGAGCTGCAGACCACCCCCGAGTTCCGAGCCCACGTAGCTAAGAAGCTGGGAGCCCTCCTGGACAGGTAAGCTAAGGCGCCGCCTTCTCCGGCTGGGAGATCCAGGCAGAGCCTGGGACACCCTCGTCCCTGTCCCACCTGCCAGGGACCAGGAACCAGGCCAGCCTGGACCAAAGCGTCTGCTCGGAGTCCCGGGGAGAAAGGTGGCATGTCACAGCTGCAGGCTGGCATTCCTGCAACAGGAACCAACCCTGGGGGCCGTGGGGAGAAGGGGACCGGCAGCCCTGAGTGGCACTCTGGGGTGACTTCGGTCCTGTGAGTGGCGGATGGGAGAAAGTCCCTGGCAGGCCGCATCATCTCCAGGATTTAGATGGGGCTAGATGGATCTGAGCCTCATCTTTGTGAAGACTGTTCTGTGCAGCCAGGTGACCCTGTGCAGCCAGGTGACCCCGACACACTCTCTCTCTCTCTCTCTCTCTCTCTCCCTCCCTCTTCCCCCCCCCCTTTCCTCTCCCCTCCTCTCCTCTCTCCTTCCAGAGAGGGTTTGTGTTATTGGGGGGTGGGGCCAGGGAGGCCTCCAGGGCTACTCCCATTGGCACTTGGCATTGGGGGTCGGTTGGTTCGGTACCCAGCCTGCCTTGCTGTGCTGCTCAGGCCCAGCACTGCGGGGAGTTCTAGCCCAGTACCCCACAGTGCTCGGTGGGTCACGGGTGTCGGGGATCTCAGGACACCGCATGCCGTGCACGTGTCCCAGCCCCCATGCTCGCACTCTCCCGAGTGTTTTATTTTTTACCTTTGAGGTTGTCCAAGGCTTCCTGGCGCCCATCCCGATGGCAGAGATCATTGTCACTTTGCTGTCCCTCCCACGGACTGAGCACCTGGGTGCTCGGTATCTGCTGTCCTGTTTCATCCTGTGGCAGCCCTAAGGCTGTGTCTAACGAGTCAGAGAGGTCAGTCACTGGCCAGAAGCTCCTGAAGGCTGACAAGTGAGGTCAGTAGATTGGCTCAGTGCCGGTGTCCTGCTCCTGCTAGTGGACTGGTTGCCGTCAGAGGAAACTGGGCAAAGAGCGTGTGGGATCTCCCAGTATATTTGCATGACCACATGCCCACGTATAGCCTATTTTTTATTTTAAACTAAAACGCCCAGGTACACATGCCCTGTGAGCCATTTGCCTAGACTGGTCCAGTTTGCCCGCCCTTGCCTGCTGCCAGGGGCCTTTCAGTGGACGGGCGCAGGTCATCCTGACCATTCCCGGTGCCATCAGTTCTCTGCCTTTTTTTGTTGTTGTTTTCCTTTTTGGGTCACATCCGGCAATACTCAGGGCTTACTCCTGACTGTGCACTCAGGAATTACTCCTGGCGGTGCTTGGGACCATATGGGATGCTGGAAATCGAACCCAGGTCGGCCACATGCAAGGCAGGTGCCCTACCGGCTGTACTGTCGCTCCAGCTCCAGTTTTCTGCCCTTTTGGGGGTGTTTTGTTTTTGTTTTGTTTTGGTTTGGTTTGTTTTGTTTTTTTTTCTTTTTGGGTCACACCCGGCGATGCACAGAGGTTACTCCTGGGTCATGCACTCAAGATATACTGCTGGCGGTGCTCAGGAGACCATATGGGATGTCGGAAATCGAACCCAGGTTGGCCGCATGCAAGGCAAACGCCCTACCCACTGTGCTATCTCTCCAGCCCCAGTTCTCTACCCTTTTTGAAACTGCATTTAATGTGTGTCTGTGTAAGTGGCTTAGAGCTAATTCCATTAAGGCCAGAGAGTCCAGCAGGCAAGGCGTGTGCCGACCCGAGTTCCACCAGGAGTGATCCCTGAGCATACATCCAAGGGTAAGCCCGAGCACTGCTGGGCATGGCCCTGGAACAACAATAAATTAAACTTGCTTTGTACATTCTGGAACAAAGTGGGGTGGAAACACCTGTAGACTAGGGACATGATTCAGGCTAGGGCCTGTGTCTTGCCTGTGTCTTACCCAGGTTCAGCCCCCAACACGACTGTTTTCCCAGGTGTAGTTGGGGAAGGCCTGGAGGCGCCTGACCACCGTCACAGTGGCCTGGTTCATCCTGGGCGCCAAAGAGCCCAGGAGCACCACACCCACAGGCCCTGGCATTGGATCGCTGGCATTGATGGGCCAAGACTTGCTGGCAGGAGAGGTCAGGGCGATAGTACAGCGGGTCGGGCGCTTGCCTTGCACGTGGCTGACCTGGGTTCAATCCTTGGCGTCCCATATGGTTCCCCAAGCACCACCAGGAGTAATTGCTGAGTGCATGAGCCAGGAGTAACCCCTGTGCATCGCTGGGTTGACCCGGAGAGCCAAAAGAAGCAAAAGTTGTTGCCAACAGGAGCCCCTGAATACTGCTTGGGAGGGCCCCATGCACCCCCACCCCAAAAAGTAAATAAGGTAAGCACATGGCAGAGCGTCACAGAGAAAAGTCACATGGAACAGCACAGTCAGATGGGGCCAGCCCGTCCCGCTCAGACATCGCTGTGCCCCTCAAGCTGCGTTTTGTGGTGGAGTTACCCCCATCCTCATCCGGCGTCGCCCCTCTGTCCCCACAGCTCCATCACCATCTCAGAGGTGGCGAAGGCGCCGGCAAAGGCCGGGCCCCGAAGAGTCCCGGTGGAGGACAGTGGTGAGTGGTCCACGCCCACCGTGGCTGTGTGAGGTGGAAGCTGGGACTTGGAGGGCGAGGGGTGGGGGAGGGCAGCCTTCCTCTCCCACTTACAGGAGCAGCTGACTGAGACCCTAAGGAATAAAGCCGCTTGCCTGAGACCCTTACCCCCATACTCAGCTTGGGGTCTCTGTCTGCACCCGTGTGTGTGTGTGTGCGCCTGTGTGTGTGGTGCCATTGCTGACCCCCAGGTGAGGCACATCTCTCTGGCCTCGCTTCTGGAAGAGTTGGCCCCCACGGGCAGAGGCTGGGCTGCCCCCACAGTGCTCACGCTGCCCCTTGGGATTTTAGGGTTCCGCCTTTTCTTCACCTCCCTCCCGGGAGACCCTGAGAAGAAAGCGTCCCCTCCGCGCCCCCAAAAGCGGCCGCCTTCCAGCTCCAGGTGAGCCCCCCACCCACCCTCCACTCCAGCTTCTCCCCTTGACCCTTTGGCTTGGTCGGTGCCAGTCCCCTGGGTCCTAGCCAGGGCTAGGTGGCTAGAGGAGTGGACGCATTGGGCTGCAGGGTGCCTGTGGCACAGCTGCCCGGGGCTGGCCTCTGCTTATCGCTACCGACCACCCGCTCCTGGGCAGCCCCACGTGTGTGGCGGTTTGGGGGCTTCTTGCGTGGGTGTGTGCCGGGAATCCAACTTGGGGCCTCACTGGAGGAGCACGTGCTCTGCCGCCGAGCTCCCTCTGGTCCCCAAGCCGCTATTTTATTGCTAAAGACTCCAAGGACTGGGGCTGGAGTGATAGCACGGCAGGAAGGGCATTTGCCTTGCATGTGGCCAACCTGGGTTGATTCCCAGCGTCCCATAAGGTCCCCCGAGCACCGCCTGGAGTAATTCCTGAGTGCATGAGCCAGGAGTAACCCCTGTGCATCACTGGGTGTGACCCAGAAAGGGAAAAAAGAAAAAGGACTCCAAGGGCTGAAGACACTGGTATAACACTACAGTCACACGACTACGGTCACATGCGATCATCGGGGTTCAGCCTCACTCCCCGGCCTGAGCCCTCTGCACTCCCACTCGCCTCTCTGGAGGTTTGCGCTGAAGGAGGCAGCGAGAGATAGCTTGGGGGGCCCTGTCCCCATTGACCCCAGCTGACCCCAGCTGTCCTGCATCCCCCAGCAGCAGCGAGGAGAGTGACCGAGAACTGCAGCGGTGCCGGGAAGCGGCTGTGTCGGCCTCTGACCTCTTGGAGAAGTCCGCCGTCCACGGCCCCGCGCAGATGGAAAAAGAAGTGAAGAAGAAGAAAAAGAAAAAGAAGAAGCTGCAGGGGCCAGCCCAGGAGGCCGCCAGTGCCAGCCTAGATGCCCGGGCCACCATGGACATGCCAGAAAAGGAGGCGACGAAACTCAATGGAGACCAGACATCCCCAAGAGCCAAGAAGAAGAAAAGGAAGAAAAAGGCAAAGCAGGCCAGCGAGGCCACCCCATCCCCCTGAGTGCAGAGCACAGCGGCTGAGCCTGCGGGCTGGGCCGAGGACCGGCAGGACCAGGCTCTGTCCCCGGGGCCGCCCGGGTTTGGGCAGAAAAGGGGCTGGAGGGTGAGCGCAGGAGCCAGGCTGCGCCTGCGTTGATGCTGAGGGTGGGCAGGCCTGGGGTGCCGCGACTTTCTGTGGCTCTGGGAAGGAGCCCGACGGCCCTGCAGGACTGGACACCCCCACACACACCCACACCGAGGGGGCCGACCTCCCAGCTGCAGGGAGATGCTTCCACTTCAGACCACACAGACTCGGCTTTCACTGTAGCCGGAAAAGAGCAGTTTTCCTCCCTGCAGGGTTCCAGAATTTTCTTTCTGAGCCTTTGTGAGTATTGAGAATAAACCACCCAGAATTTAAACCACCCCAGCCAAAGTGACGAGAGTGACGCCTGACCCTGCGGTGGTCGGGGTAAGGATCAGGCCCGCCCCCTCCCCCCAAGAGGGGTTCCTTCACCCCAGCTTAGAGACTTCAGGATGTTGGGGGGCCAGCGTGTAGATCGGCCCTCAACCACTGGCCTCAGAGGTGCGAGGTCCCAGGTTCCATCCGCTGCACCACCAATAATGTCCATAATAGATTCCAGGGGCTTCTGGACATGGGCGGTTGGGGAGCTCAAGGTTAAGTACAGCGTGTGATCCAGGCTAGGACAGCATGCTGACCCCTGACCCCCACCCCACACACTGGGGGTACAAGGGACCGAGCATGCAGCCTCTGGTACATTCCTTCTTCATTTTTACTAAAAGTTAAATAAATGTACAGGCTCCCTGGTTCTCCCACATCAGCTCTCTCAGTCCTGGGTGGAGAAGACCCCCCCCCCCCAGGGCCCCCTGCAGCAGCCTGGGGTGCTCAGACTCACTGCTGGGGCCCCTCCCCCTCAGCCAGGCCGAAGTGCAGTCCCCACCGGGGGACACCGCTCCCCCCAGGGCACCTCCTGGATCCCTGCACTGCAGCTTCTCCCCAGACAGGTGGGGGCCCAGCCCCCAGACTCAGGCCCCAAGGGAGTGAGGACAGCCCCTTGCCCTGAGGGCTGCCCCAGAATGGCAAGATGCCAGGCTGGCATGAACGGCGCAACGCTGGGGCAAGAAAACCAGGGCGGGCTCGGGGGAGTGGGGGGGGGACCTGGCGGTCTGGCCCTGGCCTCGAGTGGTGCTCAGGGAATGTCACGTGGGGGGACCAGGGCAGAGCTTGAGTCTCTCCCAGCTTGGCGCGTCACAGCTGCACGAGTTCGAGTCCTGTGCTGTCCCCAGACACATGCGGGGGGTCGGGGCCCCGTGCTCCAGGGCAGGGGGCCCAAGGTTCTTGTCCCCTGATTCCCCTGCAGGCCTGCAGGCGCAGGCCCTGGTAGGCGGCCGGGGCTACTGGGATGAGGAGGCCATCTGCGTGGAGATGAACGTCTCAATGACGCTGTGGTTGGAGGGCAGCAGGTGGCTGTGGCCGGGGGTGGGTTCGGAGCTCTGGTACAGCACCAGGCTGCTGGACGACACTGCAAGGACAGGGACACACTGGCTACTCACTCCTCCCCGCCCGTCTGCCCCAGGCCAGCCTCTGCGTCCTCTCCCCCACCCAGAGATGTCCTAGCAGGAAGCCCTGATGTGAGAATGTGGTCATTTATCGGGGGGCAGAGAGAGCTCCCCAGCCATGCTCAGGAGCACAGGGACCACTCGGTGCTACGCGGTTCAAGCAAGCAGAATGAGCCGTTGCTTGGGGCAGGGCAGTGCTCGGGATCAAACTCTGGTCCTGGCGCATATACGAGGCATCACGTTAGCTCTGGGCACTGTCTCCCTGGCCCCTGGGCGTGAGTGCGCTGAGGCTAATAACCCCTGTGTGGGGCCAGCTGTGCTGTGAAGACGGTTTGCAGCTGTGGGCAACACGCCTACAATCAGTGGACCAACTTACAGACTTTCCTGCCTTAGGGGCCAGAGCGATAGGTAGGGCGTTTTCCTTGCACATGGCCGATGGAGACTTGATCCCAGCATTCCCTAGGGTCCCCCGAGCACCACCAGGAGTAACTCCTGAGTGCAGAGCCAGGCGTAAGACCTGGACATCGCCAGCTGTGCCCCTCCCCCAAAAAAATTTAAAAAGGATTTTCCTGCTGCATCGTCGTGGGCTGGCCCAGTCTGTCAGAGCAAAATCAGGATTCTGGGCCTGACTGCCCTGTCCTGCCCTATATCCAACTTGCCAGCTGCACTACCGTGTAAGCAAACTCCCTAAATACTCATGTTCCTTCTGGCTCTGGAGGGCTCTGATTCAGAAAGTTGAAAGACGGGGTGAGTGGAAACAAGGCCAGGCCCTGGGCTAGGGAAGGATCTCCGAGAGCGGGCGGATGGGCTTTGCATGCGGGGAACTCTGGGTCCAGTCCCGGGCTCTGCATGGTCCCCATGCCCTGCTAGGTGTGACCCAAGGATACAGATCTGGCCCCATTACCTGGCAGGTGTTTGAGACCCCGTGAAGCCCCTCCGTCCTTGAGGATCCACTTTTGCAACTAACTAGGCTGAGGGTCCTCGTCCCGGCCAGAAACAGGAGCCCTTGTAACCGACCCTGCGGCCAGCTCCGGGGGGCACCGGCCTAGCAGTGACCCTCTTGCCTGAGCCACTCACCGGTGGGGCTGGTGCTGAGCCGGGGCGCGGGCTGCAGGTGTTGCAGGCCCGCGGGCTCCTGGCTGGGGATGTGGATGGCCGTGGCCTGGGACACCGGCGTGTGCAGGCCGGACTCGCCGGAGGCCTCCGTGTCCGAAGCGAAGACCTGGGTGGGCAGAGCAGTGTCCTGAGCCCCCAGGGCTGGACTCCCGGGTGCCTCCCAGAGCCCGGGAGCCAGGGCCGGGGCCGGCAGGAGCCTTACCTGTTTGGTGGGCGTGAGGCTGGCCAGGGCACTCAGGTTGGTGGAGTCGGCAATGAGCATGGTCTGCGGAAGCAGGCCCGTGTGTGTGTACTGGGCCACCTCGGACTTGTGGCTGTAGAGGGCTGCCAGGACGAGAGGGGGCAGACAGGCATCAGGACGGCCGGGCCCTCCCGGGAGCCTCCACGTTCAGGCTCTGAGCAGTCGGGGCGATCGGCCCCAGGGTGGTGGCTGGGGTCTCCAGGCTGGTTCCAGAGGATGGAAGAACTCTGTTCCCAGCTGCAGGAGACCCTCAGCCTGGCCTGGGGGAGGCTGCGAACCCAAACGCAGCCCCGCCTATCACCTGGGCATGACAGGTAAAGCGGGCCAGGGGAGGGCCTCTGGGAGGGACGAGCAGAACAGAGGGTGGCGGCACCGCCATCTCCAGGACCCCCTCAGCCCCTGCACCCACAAACACATGCGCAAATGCACACAGATCCTGCACGTGTGCACAGACACACAGAGGGGGCATCTCCGCAGAACCCAGAGTCCCGTCAGCCCCTATACATACCACACACAAACACACGAACATACATGCAAACACACCACATGCGTGCACACACACAGAGCATACAGGCTCCGGCAGAAAAGGCTGGAAGCCACATCACACAGACTCAGAGCCTCGCTTCCTGCAGACACAGACGTTCGGCCCAGGACAGAGTCGTCCCCTTCCGCCCAGAGATGCTTGGTCCCTTCCACCCAGAGACATCCACAGATGCCACTGAGGTGTGAAAGGCTGCAGCCTCCTGCCGCGCCTTGGTTGGCCTTGCCATCCCACCCTCCTTGCTCCCTAATCTAAGAGCTCTGGGGTGAGGGTCAGGGCCCTCCAGGGGATTCTTAGAAGGGGTGCATTCCCTCCCACATCGACAGACCCCCGACGTGTACCCCCTCCCAGACGTGCACGCACAAAGCACATCCTGGCCCACGGTCACGGAAGCCCCCCACCCCCCACTTCCCCAAGTTCACAGAGACCCCCACCCCGACCACCCACTCACCGTGTGGGCTCTGCAGCTGGGCCATGGTGGCCATGAAGGGGCTCTGGGTCACGTGGCTCTGCACGGGGGGCATGAGCGGCTGCTGGTAGGGCGGGTGCAGCGGCTGGGAGAACTGCACGGGCTGCAGTGTGGTCAGGCTGCTGCCCATGCTGTTGATGACCGGCACGCTCTGGGCCTGTGTGGAGGCCAGGCCTGGGCCACGGGAGGGACAGGAGTCAGCCTGGCCGCCCCGGGCCCCGCCCATCCAAACCCAAAGAGCTGGGGACTGAAAGTTCTGCCTCCCCCGCTCCCCAAGACCTAGACACCACCTCACGCTAGGACCTGCCACTCACGGGGCCCGCGAAAGACCTCCTGCCCCAGATCCCCTGGCTCGTTCTGAGACCGTGGGTGTGTGAGACATGGGGCCCTCGTCCCCTGCAGTGCCACGGCCCTGAAGCCGGGCTCTCCCCTCTCCTCACAGCCTCCTGCTTAGCTTGGATGGGGGCTTCCGCGGAGGGGGCCCCATGGTCCCTGGGTGGAGAGAGCGAGGGGGTCAGAGTTAGACTGTATCTGACCCGACATGGTCCCCGACACTGCAGGGCCCTTGAGCCTGAGCACTAAACCACCAGCTTGGTCTTCTGAGATCCACCAGGAGTGGCCCTGGGTCCCCTGGGCAGTACTTAGGAGGTCCCTCTGAAATAATGACGAAACAAAGAACTTCAGTCTCCCGTCCCACTGCTTTCCCAGAGACATGGAACCGTAGGAGGTGAACTCGGTGGAAGAACAAATACGTGATTTGGTAGGTGTCCTTCTGTGCCTCCCACTTGAGAGGCTGCGACTTTGCTCTGCCTGGTCACTTATGCCCCCCTTCCCGATCATGGTGCCTGGCACAGAGTAGGCTGCCAGTTCAAGGAGTGAGTAATAAGTAAGTGAATTGATGAGTGAATAAGTGAAAGAATGAGTGAGTGAGCATGTGGGTAGATGAGTGAGCATGTGAGGGAGGACTGAATGGGTGAATGAGCATGTGAGTGTGTAGACAGGTGGGCGGGTGAGTGAGCGAGAGGAGTGTGTGAGTGAGCCTGTGAGTGAGAGCAGATGAGTGAGACTGAGCAGGTGAGGGAGAACTGAGCAGGTGAGGGAGAACTGAGCAGGTGAGGGAGAACTGAGCAGGTGAGGGAGAACTGAGCAGGTGAGCTCCTGCCAGTCATGGAGCTGAACGGAATCCGCAGTGGACAGAGGGGACACAGGCATGGCCGGGTGGGCAGGACGAAATGGGACGAGCTGAGAGAGAGTGAGCATGAGAGAGAGAGAGTGAATGAGCATGTGAGTGTGTGAGTGGGTGAATGAGTGAATGGGAATGTGAACAAGTGGATGGGTGGGTAGGTGGATGAGAGTGAGCATGTGAGTGAGAGTGGGTGGGGGGGGTGAGTGGATGGGTGGGTAGATGGGCGAGTGAGTGATTGAGCATAGCAGTGAATGAAAAAGAATGTGAGTGAGAGTGGGCATGAG